CATGGAAGGCGTTAGCTGTGTGTTTTCATCGCTATTTTTCCCGAAATCTTGCAGCAGCCGAAGAACGCGGGTAGTGATTATGTAGTAGGGGGATGTCGTGTGATAGGGAGGGAACAAAGGTGGGAGCAATGATGAAGTAGCTTGTATTTTGCACGGGGTCCAACGGGTTCCCCGCGGCAATAGAGGTTTTGAAGGGTTATTTGACTGTTGCGTGTTGGCCGAGATGGGCGTGGGATTGTGCGGCATAGCCAACCAGCAGTACACACCTGGATGCCGCCCGCATACACACGCGTTCGGGGGTGTGTGTGAGCGCCAGGCTTGTGCTTTTGGTGCACGCATCTTACGGAAAGAGCTCTTCCCTCGCCCGGCAGCTGGGAACCGCTTTGGGGGGGGGGGGGCGCAGCTCCCGTGTTTGTGTTCTCCCCTTGTTCGGCACCCCCCCCGGCATCTAGCTCTACACGGATTGATTGCTACGCAGCTGGCCAACGATCACCCCGCCGCCGGTGACAGAGGCCCGCCGCCCGTAACAGTCCCGCGGGGACGACAGTCCCGCGGGGACGACAGTCCCGCCGCCGTTGACAATCCCGTGGGGACGAGAAGGAGAACAATCGTTTGAAACTATTGACTATGCCTCTCATCGCTTGTTGTTTCCTTTTGCGGGATTTTTTTTTTGGTTGTTTTGCGCGACTTTGACTGCTGCTGTTTTACTGCTGCAGGCGGAGGCTGATTTTGGGGTGTCTTCGGCTGGTTTTGAGGTGTGATCGACTGGCACAGGGGACAGCGCTTGCTGTGTCGATCGATGCTGCTGCTTCGCTGTTTTCTTCCTTTCTTGAATGTCAAACGTCTGGGGGGGGGGTTGCGATGTTCCGATGGTTTTACGTTTTTTTTTTTGTCTTGAGCAAGGGGTCGAACGGGCGCGAAGAAAGCGATGAAGAAGGTGGGACGTATCCAGAGGTCGAGCCGGGATCCCGGGCTGAACGTTTCGTTTTGCCTCTTTGCATGTGTCGGGGCCCCTCCCCCTGACAAGCCAACCTTCGGTCAGGTCATGAGATGCTTCCCCAATGGTCGGCAAACAAGGCAAGCAGAGGCGTCATGGGGGAATGCAACAGGGGCTTTTGTGGAGGACGCGGGGTGGAGGTAGTGAAGATAGATGTGGCTTCTCTTTACGCTCGAGCTGTTTTTCTCCGAGGATTTGTGCGGAATTCGTGGTGGGGGGCACGGTTGGGGTTTTTTTATGACACGACGTGTGATAGATACCGAAATCTTGTGTCGAGTTTTGATTGCTCCGTCTGCAGGCACATGTACATACGCTATTTTTTGTCTTGTTTTAAGAGTGTGATCTGATCATCAGCGAGTGAATATGGGTGGTTGGGTGGATGGTCGGGCGGGCTCGCACCACCTGTGGCGGAGGTGAAGGGGGCGACGGCGAATGAATAAACAGGAAAGGGAGGGGGGAACCGTTCCGCGTCTTCTTTCGGCCACCGGACACGGTCGGTTTCACCCTTCACTGCTGTTACAGCATCCGTCGGGTGTGTCTAGACTGTTTTTTGTTTTTGTTTTTGTGAGAGTTTTGTCTCCCTGTCTGGCGCCCTCTGCACTCTCTGCCTATGGCACAGAATACTAAAAAACAAAACAAAAAAACGTTGAATTCAAACATCGTAGCCACCCACCCACCCGGGACGCGTGAGTCGACCGAACTTGAAAAGTCCTTACAAAAGCGGTGAAGGTTCCGCCGGCCGGAATATTAAAACATCAACAAACACCTACCCATTAATGAATGCCTTAAGATTTTTTCTCGATTGATTACGTACGTTCTCAGGGCGAGATGTTGAAAAAAAACGGATCTGGCAAGCCGTTTTCTATCGTTCAATGTGGGAGATCCTCTTGCATGTGGCGTTTTCAAAGAAGAAATGCTGCAAACTATTCTTCTCGTCAATCGCCACTTGAGGTTTTCTTGCTTTGAGGAGAAAACTATTTTTTCGCGAGAAACGCTACGTGGTACATATTATTGCTTTGGCTCCAAATATATTCATAACACAAACAACAAGTGATGCCGATGCGGGGGGGGTATCAGAGGGGGCTCCTTGGTGGTCAATGGGGCACCGTGGATCGTTTCTCGGCCAAAAACGGTGCATTTTCTGAAACCCGAAAAACGCTGGAGCTATCGACGACATAGTAGCTCGACGAGGCGATCACGAATACCTGTCGTTGTTTCATGTTTCTTTCAAACGTTGTCGCACAAAAAGGTGAATGGCACAACTGTGCATGGACCATAATGTCAGAGTAGATGTCCGCGCCAAACTCTTGCCCCCTTTTCGAGGTTCGCTGTCTCTTTTACTCACTGTGTGTGGCCGTTCTGCAAGGCCTCATCAAGCATGTTCTATTCGGCTCTGTGCGCATGACGAAAATCTGTTTGCATAACTGCCAGCACCTCCGCAGGAGAACAAGACAACTCCTGTGCGGACTCCTTCTGTGTGACCCTGATTTCCGCGTCCAAATATTTGCCCGAAACTGGGAAACTGACGTTCAGATTAGATGAGATGACTCAACGCACACATCTTTTAGCTACACAGTTGTTGGCAAAGAACAAACTTGGGCCGAACCAAAACGAACGGGAACACCGAAGATCCTTGGGTGACGGGTGGTGTCACCTATGGCCGTTCAGCCGTGACATATTGGACTTGCTCCGCCGGAGAAGTTTACGTTCGTTGTTGTGAGCCTTGCAGATGACGTAACATTACAAGTGCGGGTGACGTTTGCCAAGAGGTGCTCCCCAACTTTGCTGCATCCACAACAACAATCACGTCGTAGGACACACTGCAGTCAGTTGTGTCAAGGAGAACCTACGCGGTGCAGCTACTTTCGTAAGAGACGCGCCTCACAGTGGATGAGTTTTTGGCGCAGAAGGTCCCAGCAGACAAACAACTCTTTCTGTTCCGGCTTCGCTGGAGACGGACGTCATTTTTTCCCGATGGTTAGCCGGTTATTGCGGTCGATGAAAAACAAATACAAGACACACACACGTACACGTCACAAACGAACGACTAACTGCTACCGAGGCCCTCGGGTCCCTGGCCTTGGCAATTGCCTCGAGCGCATGAACGCTCTCGAGCCCATGCGGTCCCTCTCGGGGAGGTACAGCCTCGCGCTCCGGCCGCCCGCCTCCCCCCGCGCCGCCCTCTCCTCCGCCTCCACCCACGGAACTCCCGAAACGCTGCCGGACATGTCCTCGCGTCCGGCCCCAAACCTCACCCCAGCCGGAGAAGACGAGCAGCAGGGATCGGTCTCGTTGTTGTAAGGAGGCCTGAACTTGCCCGGTCCGGGGCCGTCCGGGGGTCTGGGAGTCGGCCGCTTGCCCCCGAACGACCACGCCGGGGGCGCCGCCGCCTGACCGGCCAATCCGCCGTCGCCGCCGCCCCCCGTGGCGGACTCCGGGCGGTAGGCGTGGGCACTGGGGGTGACGCGGCCGTCGTCGCGGAAGAGGTAGCGGCTGAGAGCCGGGTCGTACGGGGCCCCCGTGGGCTTGCGCCCGAGGGTCGGGGGGACGGCCGTCGACGAGCCGGCGGCGGCGGCCTCGGCTGCCCTGAGGTCGTAGTCCCCGACGCCGGGCCTCGGGGCCGAGTCCCTGGGAAACCGTTCGGAAGACCCGAAAGTGCCGGCAGCCGCTGCTACTAGGGCTGCTGCCGCGGGCGACGCCCCGGGTGCGTTGGTCGGGCTGGAGGTGGACCGCAGTGGTCGCCGCCAGCTGTTCCTTGGCTTGGGGTTCGTCGAAGGCGGCGGGGGCACGTTCTCTCGGCTCGAAGGAGCTCTTGCGGCAGCCGCCCGTCTAGGTGGTGCTACTCGTCTTGGCGGCTCTTGAGCAGCAGCAGCAGCAGCAGCAGCAGCAGCAGCAGCAGTAGCCGGGCCGCCCTGGACTACCTCGGGGGCGTACTGCTCGGGCCCCGGCGTGTCTGGCGAGGGCGGGAATAGCTCCCGCTTCGATCTGCCGCCGATGCCGACGACCTTGCCATCGCGAGCGGTCTCGTCGAGGGTGGCGGGGAGGTACGACGACGGGCCGGGGCTCGGCGCCGCGTCCGGCGGTCTCTGCGGGGCGGTCCCCATCGACGACCCCCTGCCGGTGGCGGTCTCGCGGCTCCGTCTCTTCGACGGTGATGCCCCGACCCCGGTTATCTTCGCAGACATTGCCGCCGCCGATTTAGCCCGTTTCCTGCGCCCGGCCTCTTTCACCACGTCCGCGATGAAACGCGGGCGGCGGCACGTGCTACTGCTGCTGCTGCTGCCGTTGGCGGTCCCACCACGTTGTTGTTTCTTTTCTGTCCTATCGCCGCCGCCGCCGCCGCCGTCGGCCGTGCGGTCGAGTCTCCTCCCTCGCGCGCAGGCGCGGCGGAAGCGGGACGAAGGCGGGGCCGACGAAGGGCGGCGGCGGAGGCGGGCGATGATCGTCTCCCGCTCCGCCGACTCTCGACGGTGGTGATGCAGCGGCGCCCGGAAACGCCCCACCCGCCGCCAACCGCCGCTCCATTGTTGATCACCGTCACAGTCGTCGTCGTCGTCGTTGTCGCCGTCAAGCTCGCACGCGAACCGCGTGATCTCCTTGATTCGGGCGGACCAGCCAGCGGGTCGAAGGTTTCTGCCGAACGTGATGTTCTTGCCCAGCTGAGGGTTGAAGGCGGGGGACTGGTACTCTCCAGGACCCGGGGTGGGCGTTGCTTCTGGATATCCACACGTGCGATGGGCAACGCGACGGTTCAAGCGCGTAACATTAAAAGGGTCGTCTTGTCAATTATATTTTGGAGCTGGCACTTGAGCAAGAGGACAGTCACAGGGAGGGGGGGTTGTGTGTGGAGAGGGTGTGGACTTGTGTGTGTTGTCGCGAGACCGACACTTAACGTTATCCAGCGTCGCAGTAGGACGAGCAGTAGCTGCCGGCAATCTCTAGAGCGCCGGAAATCCAACACCTCGGTCTATCTATGTGGTGAAATCTGTAATAGGAAAGCAACGTAGCCATCGGAAGATGGTGCAGTACGCTTGCCTTCTCGAAGATTCCGGATCGCCATACAGCGCTTTGGAAAGTGCGGACATTTCTAGTTTTTTTTTTCGGTGGTTGGCTCCGTGCTTGTTGTGCCTCCCAACATCTCCCTTGGGGGCTGAATGAACTATGTAGCTCGTGGAAACAAAAAAAGTGCTCTATGACGAACCCTGGACTGTTGTTGTGGCTAGCGCCGCGTAAACACCAAGGGTCACACGCAGACAGACGTCGATCCGCGCGCAAACCCAGAGAGCTGCACGACTCATGTCCTTACCGGTGGCAAACCTTGGGCTGTCCCGCTTGCCAAATCCTTCCCCCGCGCCATTCTCCCCTCGCCCGACGCTTAGCTGGACGTGGACGTATTGACCAGGCCCGGGGCTCTCCGGCGTGTCGAGGGTCGTAGGCGACCTCGAGGGCATGGAGTATGCTGGGCCCTTGCCAGCAAACTCTGAAGATATGTACGCGCCAGGACCCGCATCTGTTGCCGGGCTTGAGACCGGGAACCGTGGGGTTTGGTGCTTTCGATCTGCGGGTTGAAGTGGAAGGCCGCCCCAGGGATCCAGTCAAATGGAGCGCTTGGATCATCCAGGTCTATCAGCAAGTGATTGTGTTCTGCACTTTTTGTCTCTCAGAGTACGAGGTGCTGTCTAGTAAGGGCATGGACAACACGTCGATTGTGCAATCAATGAGGCGGTTGCTGCTACTGCTGGACACCTCGTTCCTCTCGGAACAAGGAAATGACTCGAATCTGGGCAGCAGGCAAGTAGCGAGGCGCTACAACTACAAGGTCGAGAGAGGCTTTCACCCGCTCCTGCGTGACTTGCTTCGGTCCAGTTTATCTCGAGGTAATTTCTTGTCTCCGAGGTCAAACATCGTCTATGTGCAATATCGCACCAGTTGTACTGGACACAGAACACCTTGCTTTGTTGACTCTTCTTGTATCACACTGAGTGAAGAAAATGAACCTGTGATTGAAGAAAACCCCTTGTGCACTCCTCCAGTGGCATTCGCAGCACAGGACGCGTAAAGTTGATGTTGTGCACGAGAAGTACTGCACATACACTGTAGATTCCGAATGGTAGGCGGATATCTGGAAAATGCAGCAGGGAGAACAGCAGTGTACATTCGTCATACCTCTCACAGTGGACCTTACCTCTAGGAGACACGTTCCATCTAAGTGGCCGATTCTTGGTGACGTCGTATGCTCCAGGTCCTGGTTTGTCCCTGCCTTCCCGTTCTGAACAATTTCGGTTGGATAGCCAAGAACGAGCCAACACGCACAAATTGGTATTCCATTGCATGAGGTCGCTCTTTTCCCGTGCGTCGTCTACAGTAGATTGATTGGAGGATGGAGGAGATAGTAACTTCATAGGAAAAAGGCTGTTTGGCTGTTCAGTTAGAGAGAGAGGCAGGCTGTACAGCAATAAAACTAAAAAAACACGTCCACGACAATGAATGGTGGTGCACCACTTCGTGTCCAATGGATAGTGTAGGTGGTAAACGTGCCAGTCAGTCTACATTTACCGTCTACGTACACGTACAGTAGTCTCAATTGATAATTTATTTCACAATCGAGATTTTTCTGTGCTGGGGCGCACAGCGCATAATGGGCTATCGCTCGTCCGTACTGCTGTCGGGACAAATAAATATAGCCAAATTCTTGTTTCGACTAGTTGTGCACAAAGACTTTTTGATTGCACACACCAACACACACCTATGCCGAAAACTAATCGCTTGACGTCCGTTCGAGGGCACGTCGGCTTCGCCCCAATGGGAGAGAAAAAGGTTCCCGCTGAGCCTCCATCGAGGCTCCCCGCAACGTTGTATGTTCCCGGTCCGGGCACACGAGGTCCTGGAACCGTGGGATTCAGGCCGAAGGTCCAGGCCGGGGAGTCGATACTAGCAGCCATCCTCGTTACGAGAGAGGGAGAAGAGAGATGGCTTCTCCTCCATGATGCAGTACGAAGGTGAGAGAATGTCATGGCGAAAATTGCGGAAGGATTTTTTGCGGCGGAATAGCAACGGCACATTTTGGCATTTTGGCGAATAGGAGAAGCCAAAAAGGCGGCGAAATAGGTCACGGTCTGAGTGAAAAACGGCTTCACCAACCGACGAAGAAGACAGTCGACGAGCGTGGAATTACATTATTTTTTCATCAAGGACTCACGTAAAACGGACACCTCCGAGAATGCTGATAAAGCACATCAGCGTACACGCGAGGCGCACAAAGCGACGCAGCCATGGGGGATGTCATGGAATTCGACATGAGCAACAATGGGGGCAGCAGGGGTCGGCCTCCACCAAGAATTGCATCAAGGCTTGCAGCTGGGAGGCGAAGTAGCGGGGCCAGGTCGACGGACGGACCTATTCGGGCGCGGCCGCCGTCAGGGTATGTGAAGCATCACATGTGCCTTGCGTGTGGTGGCTGCTGTGCAGTACAGTTGGGACATCAGTTGTTCCCGAGGCCAAGTTGTCTCTTTCGCGTCGTGAGCGTAAGAGATCTTTGCATGATGAACTGATCACCCTACAATGTACTCTATGTATCTGTATCGCGGTGTGACGACTTCCAGCCACACGTCCGTCGCCATTAATCCAAACACAATAGATATACTTCTGATGCACCACTGCAGAAGAGGGTCTGTTAGATGCTTGTGCGACCTCGGTCATGGAGCTCGACGGCCACATAGACCGAGCGTACATACAGAGATCACACCCAACCGGTGCTCCAATAAATTCTAGCTCACTGCGCGTACACAATAACTGAAAAAAGACTTCCATCCTTTTTGGCGTAAACATTTGCAGTAGAGCAGATGCAAAGGCAACAGACTCAAGAGTCGCGGCCAGGAGACCCAGCGTCGATTCTACAGACTCAGTTCGGACACGCGAAAGGGATTCTAGGCGTGCACGCGGGTCTTCAGACGACGAGGCCGCGGCCAAGTCCATGGCTCGAAGAAGAACCGATTCTCCCATGGGATATGGGAGAGCCGACCGAAATGGGAGCGACGCTGCCAGGTATGTGGGTTCGGTCACATCTTTATTTCTGCCACAACTAGCTTCTGGGGTTCGTATTCGACCAGCAGCAAAATATCTACGGTAGAAAAAGCGCCTGGTGCTTGAGATCTTGTATTAAATACTCGTCGATTCGTCTGTACTTGTGTGTAGCATTCTTCAGCGGGTGATACAGGTTTTAAGCATAGACTTGAACGTTCCTGCTGCGCTGTAGGTCTACTGTCAGAGAGCACTACAAAGCCTAACTTCGGTGAGAGTCGCGTGCACTCGCTTTCTTTTCACCGGCTCCAAGAATTCGTGGACTCTGTTCTTCCTTATCGGTACATAGCAGAGACGCGCCACTCCTTGCTCTAGTATAGCCAAACAAGGATGCACAAAATGTGTTAAACGCAGGTTGCAAACAACAACGCGATGCATCTCTTGCACGTTTTCCACATCTGCTCAGTTTCCCCGCCCACCGCACCTACATGCAGCGGGTCTGACACGGGCAAGTACCGTCTGGGGCAGAAGGTCGAAGGCCGTTTTCGCGGAAAAGGGCGGTGGTACAAGGGCCGTATTGTAGGAGTCAACGCCGGAGGAACGTACGATGTGCGCTATGATGATGGCGACGAGGACCTCGGCCTAGATGCCTCCGCCATCAGGTCGGAGGAAGCCAGAGACAGCGGCCGTGGAGGGGGCAACATCGATAGGCGCGATGAAGAGCGCCGTGGGGGAACAGAAGCAGGGCGCGCCCCTGCTTACCGCCTCGGAGACAGGGCGGAGGCTAGGGCGCCAGGGACGAACCGGTGGCAGCGAGTCACTGTCGTCGGCGAAAACCGAAACGGTACACTGGATGTCCGTTTCCGGGATGGCACCGAGGAGAGACGGCTCGACCCAAGCATGGTTCGGCCGCTGGAAGAGGACGACGGGGAACGCAGAGGCAACGGCCGCGACAGTGTCGACTCCATGGAATTCGCCGAGGGCGACAGGGTGGAGGCGCGGTTCGGTGGCCGATCGCGATGGTACAAGGCCACGGTCGAGCGGAAGAATAGGGATGGGACCTACTGGCTGATCTACGCAGACGGGGACGAGGAAAGAGCGGTAGACAAGTCTCTCATGCGTAGGATCGGCAACGGCGGAGAGCTACCAAGGTCGGGAAGCAGGAGCCCCGGGCGACGGGTTGTGTCGGGCGTTGAGTCAGAAACAGGCAGCGCTACGGGCAAGAATTGTCGAGTTGGAGATGCCGTGGAAGCGAGGTACAAGAGAGGCCGAAAGTGGTACCCGGGCGTGGTGAGGAGGGTAAACCGAGACGGGACGATGGACATAACCTACAAGGACGGCGACTCCGAGCGTGACGTAGACCCATCGCTCGTTCGCAGCAAGGGGGGCGTCAGCGTTGATTCGCTGGCTTCGTCTTCTGCGGACACCGGCTTCTCTCGGGGCGACAAGGTGGAAGCCAGGTTTGGCGGGCGCTCTCGCTGGTTCAAGGCCACCGTAGAGAGGGAGAACAGGGACGGCACCTACCACCTGTTGTACGTGGACGGGGACGAGGAGAGGGCCGTTGAGAAGCACTTGATTCGCAGAATCGAGGGTGTAGGCTCCTCGACTGCGGACGGAAGGGCGGCGTCACGGAGCAGGAGCCCCGCGGATCGTCGCGCGAGGGACGACGTGGCGGGGAGGGAGGAGTTCGCGGAGGGCGAGAGGGTCGAGGCGCGTTTCGGTGGCAGATCACGCTGGTCCAGGGCAACGGTCGAGCGGAAGAACAGGAACGGTACGTATAGACTGGTGTACGCGGATGGCAACGAAGAGCGGGAGGCAGAGAGCCGTCTGATACGAGCACTCGGGAGCGGCGGTGACAATGGTGGCAGCGGCAGCAGCCCGCGACGACCAAGTAGCGCAGTCGCTGACAGACGAGGAGCGTCCAACTTGGATAGTGGTTCAGACGTGGGCAACGCCAGGAAAACGGCGATCCGTGCCAACGACAGGATCGAGGCGAGATTCAAAGGGGGTCAAAATTGGTACGCCGGAATCGTTGTAGCGGCCAACAGAGACGGGAGTTTCGACGTCAAGTACGACGATGGTGACCGAGAGTACGATGTCGACGCAAGGCTAGTCCGTAGTTTAAGCACCGGTTCCGTCCGGGACGCTAGTGCAGCGCGCGAGCGCGGCAGGGGCGGCGGCGGTAGGGCCGAGGACGCGGCCGACGGGTACGCAAGGGCACGTCATGCAGGTGCCAGCACGGTCTCGCTGGACTCTGTACCCGCCGACAGAGACTTTGCGGTGGGCGACAAGGTGGAAGCCAGGTTCGGTGGTCGGTCTCGCTGGTTCAAGGCCACAATTGAGAGGGAGAACAGGGACGGTACCTATCACCTATTGTACGTGGACGGAGACGAGGAGAGGGCCGTTGAGAAACATCTGATTCGCAGGGTCGGAGCGAGCACGTCCCCCACGGCCGGGAACAGGAGCCCCGGGCGGCGTGTGGTGTCCGGAGTAGATTCCGAGACCGATAGTGCGGCGGGTAAGGCTTTTCGAGTCGGAGATGACGTGGAAGCGAGGTACAAGAGGGGCCGCAAGTGGTACCCGGGCGTGGTGAGGAGGGTAAACCGAGACGGAACGATGGACATTACATACAAGGATGGCGACTCCGAGCGCGACGTAGATCCATCGCTCGTCCGCAGCAAGGGGGGTATCAGCGTTGATTCGCTGGCTTCGTCTTCTGCAGACACCGGCTTCTCTCGGGGCGACAAGGTGGAGGCCAGGTTCGGAGGTCGGTCTCGCTGGTTCAAGGCCACAATTGAGAGGGAGAACAGAGACGGTACCTATCACCTATTGTACGTGGACGGAGACGAGGAGAGGGCCGTTGAGAAACATCTGATTCGTAGGGTCGGAGCGAGCACGTCCCCCACGGCCGGGAACAGGAGCCCCGGGCGGCGTGTGGTGTCCGGAGTAGATTCCGAGACCGATAGTGCGGCGGGTAAGGCTTTTCGAGTCGGAGATGACGTGGAAGCGAGGTACAAGAGGGGTCGAAAGTGGTACCCGGGCGTGGTGAGGAGGGTAAACCGAGATGGTTCAATGGACATTACATACAAGGACGGCGACTCCGAGCGTGATGTAGACCCAACACTCGTCCGCAGCAAGGGGGGTATCAGCGTTGATTCGCTGGCTTCATCCGCGTTCAACGCTAGCTTCTCTCGGGGCGACAAGGTGGAAGCCAGGTTCGGAGGTCGGTCTCGCTGGTTCAAGGCCACAATTGAGAGGGAGAACAGGGACGGTACCTATCATCTATTGTATGTGGACGGAGACGAGGAGAGGGCCGTTGAGAAACATCTGATTCGTAGGGTCGGAGCGAGCACGTCCCCCACGGCCGGGAACAGGAGCCCCGGGCGGCGTGTGGTGTCCGGAGTAGATTCCGAGACCGATAGTGCGGCGGGTAAGGCTTTTCGAGTCGGCGACGAAGTGGAAGCGAGGTACAAGAGGGGTCGAAAGTGGTACCCGGGCGTGGTGAGGAGGGTAAACCGAGACGGAACGATGGACATTACATACAAGGACGGCGACTCCGAGCGCGACGTAGATCCATCGCTCGTTCGCAGCAAGGGGGCCGTCAGTGTTGATTCGCTGGCGACCAGTACCAACACAAGCGACACCGCGCGTGGCGGTGGCGGCCGCAGCAACGACTTTGCGGTAGGCGACAAGGTGGAGGCTAGGTTTGGAGGCCGTTCGCGCTGGTTCAGGGCCGCCGTAGAGGGAAAGAACAGGGACGGGACGTATTGTTTGTTGTACGACGATGGAGACGTAGAAAGGTCCGTTGACAAGAAGCTAATCAGGAGCCTGGCCAGGCCTAGCGGTGAAACAAAGAGGGACGAGAAATACGCGACGGAGGTGTCCGCGGCGCACCGCATCGGCGACGAGATCGAGGCGAGGTACAAACGCGGGCGCAAGTGGTATCCGGGAAAGGTTCGGGCGGTAAACGCGAACGGAAGCTACGACATCAGGTACTTAGACGGAGACTCAGAGCGCGACGTCGAGGCAGCGTTCGTGCGGCCGATCGGGGGGAGTGCAGCCGGAGAGTCCCCCGGCGGCTTGGCAGTGGGAGACAAGGTTGAGGCAAGATTCCGGGCGGGGTCACGTTGGTTCAAGGCGACGGTAGAAGGAAAAAACAGGGATGGGACTTTCAGCTTGTCGTACGACGACGGAGACTTTGAAACGGCTGTGGAGCGGGACCATATCCGGAAGGTCGAAGGCGACCGCGCCGGCGGGAAGACAGCAGAAAGCAGCGGTCGAGGCGGTGCGAGAAGGGGTGTGTCCCGGGCTGGTTCCGAGACCGGAACCGACGTCGACCAGGGCGAAGAGAGAAAGGTCCACGACCGAGGTGAAACTCGGAGTCTGGAAAGGAGGGCGGACCTTCCTCGTGCTGGGGACGACGTTGAAGCCCGGTTGCGAGGCAGTTCGATGTGGCGGCTGGGCAGGGTCGCTCGCGTCCATCGCGATGGCTCCTACGACGTCGAGTACGGCGGTGGAAAGAGCGAGAGGAACGTACCGGCTAGCCACGTCCGGTCCTTGATGAAAAAAGATTCCCGCAGCGGCGACAGCGACAGCGACCGCAAGAGCAGGTACAGAGACACCACGAAAAGAAGTCAAACGGTCGCGATCGCGGAGGGCGACCAAGTGGAGGCGCGTCTCCGGGGGGGGTCTACCTGGCATAGCGGCAAGGTAACCAGAGTACATTCTGACGGTACGTATGACGTCCGCTACAGCAGAGACGGCGAACTGGAGAAGGGGATCGAGCCTCGCCTCGTCCGTCTGCCGCACTACCCTGATGGTACTGTGCGAGCAGGCAGCCCCCGAACAAGCAATCGCGGGAGGAGTGGTGGTGCGGACACTTCGAGCGACGAAGGATCCTACCGAGGGACGGAGAGAGGCCGTCGCAAGGAAAGGTCGCCTATCCCTCAAGAAACCGCGAGCGAGGATGCGGAAGCGGCAGCGACGAAAGTGCGGCGCTCCCTCCGCCACGCCGGGAAAACCGTGGACGACCTCGTGCGGAAGCTCGAGCGGTTGCGGCGGTCGACCGGTGGTATCGACGAAAACACCTTGGGGCGTGTGCTAGCAAGGGTTGGCATCGAGATCTCAACTCGCGAAGCCCGAGCGCTCCGGCGCTGCTGCCCGGACGTCGATAACCACGGCTGTGTTGCTCCTTCTGCCCTTGCAGGTTTGGTGTCAGGAAGAAATAAATCTCCGATCAAGCGAAGGCGATCGTCCGGCTCCGCCACCCGTGGTGGCCGCCGTCATGCTTCGATATCGGAACTGGCATCGGACCAGTCGGAGTCGGAGTCCGCCATCAAGGGACCGGCGTCGGTGGCACGGAGAGGACGGGTGCGTGGCTCTAGCTCCTCGTTGGACAGTAGAATCAGCAGCGGTAGTAGCGGCGGCGGGCGCCTCCACCGCCGCCACCACCATGCAAAGGCCAAGGCCGCACCAGAACGTCGCTCTCCAACGCAGCGGAAAAAGCTGGATACTGGCAGCGGAAGCGAACTTGGTGGCGACACCTCGTCTGACGGGCAAGGCATGGGAGGCGCACTTATCGGCAACAAGGGCTCGAGGGCGCTGAGAAAGCTAGGAGGCTCGGCTTTCGACGGGAGTCTGCGGCAGGAGTTCGACAAGCTGAACGGCAGCGGGAGGCGTCGAGTCCTGCCGATTTCGAGCCTAAAACCGTGAGTGAACATGCAGAGCGCCCATTACCTGTCGAACATTGTACTCACCGGTGGGTGCGTGTTTGAGGCACATTGTAGCACCGCAAACCATGAAAATTTCGGGTAAATGGTGGCGGGTGTCCTACACGCACGACAAATTCCTGCTGATACAAGCACGGTCCGTGATGAACGCCTTGACGAAACAACTGAGTCGGGCAGCTGTACATTGCTATGGCGATGAAGTTAAAATGATGTAAATTCCATCACATCGAGGATACGTTTAGAAACAACGGCACCTGAAGCTTGTCTTCGATGAATCCAAGTGCGTCTCACACTTGCTGTGCCAACTCTTTGCGATATCTCCGTTCATCGTATTTCCTGTACGGCTGAGCTTATTGCTGCTGATCTTAGTCTGCTGTTGCTTACACCCGACCGAAGCAGGTTGCTTCGACACGTTAGGGTGAAGCTCGAGGAGTCGTCCCTCGCCGAGGTGATGGTCGTCGTGGACCCTGATGGCCTTGGTTCGTTCTCTCTTCAAGGACTACTTGAGGTGGCGCTGTCCACGTTTGAGGATAAGAAGGTACAAGAAGCGAGTTACCTTGCCTCAGCGTCACTGCTTTGTAGATTAATATACGATGCAGATTCGTTTCGGGAGCGCCGGTCTCGTGTCAGCAACCAATGAGAGGCCGCCCGCCTCATGAAGCACCACCCACCTCAAGAAGCAGGACTTCTCGTTCTCCCTCGCTGCTGCTGGGACAAGCGCACCAGCGACCGTCGATTGAGAGGGTTACACAATCGCGTTGGAAATTAAGTACAAAACACGTGCATTATTGAAGTTTAGTCTATATTCTTGCCGTGTTTCCAGGTATCCAAGGTTTACAGCAGCGTCTGCGAACAGCTTTTTAAGCCCACGAATGGTCGAGGTCGAAAAGGACGTAAAGAGAGCCAGGAAGCCGAGGCCGCCAGTGCGGCCGTGTCTAAAACGCTTTCCAAGCTGGAGCACCCTAAGGGATCGGGGTTGCTCACAACGGGGGACTTGAAGAAACTGGTGAGCAGGGCAACCGTCTTTAATAAAAGGCGATGGCAGTACTGTAATATGGAGCGATGGTAGCGTGGAAACGACAGAGAACTGACCGCCTGCATAGACTGTATGGGGTGCTGTCGGGGTGTATAGCTAGCACCCGGCTCCCGGTGATTCGAGAAGGGCAGTTCGGTAGTACACCGTGGGTTGCTGACTGTATGTAGAGGGCATCCCACTCAGGAACCGAACTCGTTTCCGGCGGGTAACGAATACCACAGATATTGCGTTTATGGTTCAAAGTTGCACCGCTGTTCTCGTAATAACTTGTTGAAGGCGCGTCACATGCCCTCTGGTCAACCGTTGTCTAGAATCCAATGCGGACATCGAAATGACGCCCGTGGTTGAGGATATTTTGCGAACACGTTGGCTTGTGCCAAAAATAATCTACGTTTTCCCTACAATTGTGACATACTCCATCCAAATTGCGGGTTGTCCTTGCGGTCTCGCAGGTTTGCCTGGGCACATGCCAACCTCTTCAGCTCGCGAAGAACAGTATAGACAGTTGCTTGAGATTTTCATGACGAGATGGAATAACTCGCCAAACAAGGTACTATTAATAGCGTACAGTATATCTTGTCAGTTTCAAATTGGGCTTCCGGTACATTCACGATGCCCTGTCTTCCACCGACGAATATTCCTGTTGTCCCCTCCCCCCCCCCCTCCTGTACTTGAAGCTCCAAAGGGTGGGTGCTAGAGTGTCTAGCGAAGACGCCGAACTTCTGGCGGAGAGGCTAGATCCCGCCGATCGCGGCAAGGTGGACCGAGAAGGGCTCGTTGTGTGGCTGACATCGGGCTTCGATGTTACCCAGGCGAGTGCTTCGGTGTTGTTGTTTGATGCCAGCCTACTATTTCGTGAGAGATAACAATAATATGAGCAACTTTGGACTACTCTACGAGAGAACCTGCTGGCGTCTCTCGCGGAGAAACCGAAGCCGTATGCGCCGTATAACTAATGGAAGCCTTGTCACCTATTGCGCATTTTTCTCTTCTTTTATCATCGTTTGGACCCCGGCTGAATCAAATAGGAGTAGATCCCTGATACTACGCAGTACATTTTGTAGCACACGCTTGGAGACAAACCCTTCTACCCCGCGGTCGGAGAATCTGCAGCGAGTCGCATCGTTCAGCCGGTTTTCCTTGCACGGTTGCAACAGACCACAAAACCTTAAAGGGCTCCAGGTTACTATTTTCGAAACATGCCTCAACATTATTGCGAAGTATACAGCGTATATACATACTTCAAAAACAACGAGGTCCATATTTACGCCATAGCATATAAACCCAACCAGTACGAAACGCTTTTCAGTTCGCTACGCCCGCGGCATCCCCCCCCCCCCGACCAGCTGCCACTGTGGCACATTCAGCAAGCATCCAGGTGATCCTACGTTTGTCGGTGGCTGTGCCACGGCGGGCTGTTGGGGAAGTTACTTGGCAAAGTCAAATGTCGTTGTAGTTTGTTGTGGGTGGCTGAGTACTGGCTTGGCAGCCAACAATAAATTAGCTCTTCACATGAGACATAAAGAGATCAGCTGCGGCATCTTGCGCCCTTTCAACCAAACATGCAAGCCCACAAGACTTACGTACGCTCGCTGGTGGTGTGCAACAAAAGACTAGTGCTCGGGCAAGACCACAAGGGATGTAACCCCCGGTTGCTACCATGCTCAGGAATCAACTGTGAAAACACGACCTACATAGAACAGCTACATGAGACTTTGGCGGGCTGCCTCGGTCGGCGGCGGGTCCGGCTGAAAAAACTCAATACTGTACCTTTTTCCGGCACAGAATCCCCCCTCGAAACAAAATTCATGGCCTCGAGACCTAAACCAAACCAAAATTCATGGGGTCGCACGCGGTCTACGGTTGGCCGTGCACCGTGCCCTGCAAAATCAAGAGTTGAAATCTACTCGACAGCGCTTCCCCTGTGGGGCAGCGACTTCATCCTCGCTCTCTTCTTCAGCCTCCCTTTGGATCTCATCTCTTTCTTCCTGGTGGCGACGGAAAGCCTCCCCCATGACCTTGACGTACGCATCACCAGACATGCCAAACATGTCGGATGGTACGCGAGGGTCCTTTTTCAGGACCCTCTCGATCTCTGCGTCGGGAGCCCGCCAGATCCCGCCCTGGGAAGAAACACCCACGACTTTTAAGAGGCCGTACATCGTGAGCCTCTTAACGTACGCCGCCTTAGGCGCATCCGTGCAGTAAGGGTTATTGGTGATGTAGGTCGGCGCCGGCCGGGGTTTCGCCCGCTCCAGGTCGCCCGGTTTCGACATCCGAAACAGCACTATTCCGTCATCCTCGCTACTTGCATCGACCCAGTACCCGTTCCCTGGCGGCTCTCCCGGAGGCTCGAACTCCTTCACCTTCCATCTGCGGCGCTGAAGGAAGCCGCATTTATGCTCTTCATATTTCGCGGCGGGGGTGTCCTCGAGGTCGGTATCTCCCCCGTCCGAATCTCCCCCGTTGTCGTCGTTCTGGTCGTGCTCAGACACGGTGTCTCCTTCTTCTTCGTCGTCGGTGTCTTCCAACTCTACCGCAGACACCTGCACACAACGAACAAAGGCAGACGTAAACCAGCAAGTCGCTAACTAAAAAAATGGGTTTGACGGGCGATCAAATATCTCCCACTACATCCGTACCACCTGCTGCTTCCACCCTCGCGTGCAGCGACGTTTCGGGTGATCTACGGGGCGTGTGGTCTAAAGATACACAAGCCGCTCCGCGCACGTCTTTCTATTTTTGCATGAGCGGTGACCTTGTCTACGGCATCTCGTCTCAACATGTAAAAGGGTTCAGTACGGAGCGAAAGCGGCTGTCAAATACGCGGACTGTCCGATTCTCCTAGGCGCCCACCGGTAGCCCCGAGAAAATGGACCTTTTCATTATTTTTCCAGATGGGTCGCCGAACGACAACCGCGTGGACCTGTTGCACCCCTAAATCATGCATGCACGAAAAAGTCCAGGCGCGGGGGCGGAAACCCTGTGCTCACATGGATGGGCGCTTGAGCAGAATCGCCTCCGCGACTCCGGGAACCACCACCCGCAGGGCTGGGGCTGCCGTTAGAAGCGCCAACCTGAGACATTGTTATTGTAGCGGGGGAAACGAAGGTCAGCGTTGGGAGCGGAAAGGGACTACGGAGAACAGGTGCCGCTGGTTTTGTTTCGGGTGGACGAGCAACTCGTGCCACGCGCGGCAGCCATGGTTTGCAGAAGGAAAAGAACAAGACGGAGGAAGTGCTGTGCGGTACCACGCTCGGGGCAGGTTCAACACTTTGCTCACACGGCTGGCCCCTTGAGCAGAGCCTTGTCCAGATCCAGATCCACCTCCGCCCCCGGAACCGCCACTGGCAGGGTTGGGGCTGCCGTTTACGGCGCCACTCTAAGCAGGCAGGCAAAGGTTGGCGTTTGGGGCACGAACAAAAATGCGTGTTCAGGAGGCGTCGCTAGTTTTGATTCGGGCTGCCAAGTACTATATGCTGGTGGAAGCTGACAGCATGCACGCTCTGCTGTAGAAGGCGCAATATGGCGTCCTCACATGGTTGGCCCCTTGAGCAGGGCCTCCTCTGGATCCGCCGCCGCCCCCGCTGGCACGACCCGCATGGTTGGGAGTGCTGCTATTCGCTGCATTGGCAGAACCACCCTGAGGAGAAAGACACCGCGACAGAGGTCAGCTTTGGCTTCGAGCCTGTCGTCCAAAGCGAACCGAAGCTCGACGGCTCAGGAGAACAAACGAGTAATGTCGCGAGGACGACTGCTTTATTAATGTTGGAAGAAAACTTTAGCGCCACCGTCGTAACACCCGTTGTGTGACACCGACGAAGAAAACAGGAGGGATCACGATAGGTCTTACGTGAAGCAAGGGACGCATGGCGCCGACACACCAGGCCCACACACCACACAACGCCAGAGCAGAGGCTAAGGAGAGCGCACTAAGGCCGTGCTTATCACATCCTGCCTTGCACAGATGTGCGTACTGGATAGATCCTGTCGAGTGCGCCGGGCGGTGGAATACCCCCCCGGATACATGTGTGCCCTCGCCACATTGGCTGATCAAGTCAAGTGTTCAGGGTGGGCACGGGTGCAGAAATCGGTCTATGACAAACAATTGATTGCTCGTATGCTCGAATGCTGCGTTTCAGGGCGAGCATTGCATAAGAGATCACTTTCATGCGCACCTGTTGCTGTTGCTGCCCCGGAGGTATCCCCAAGCGTCTGTTGATTAGGGTGTTGAAGTTGGACTGAGACATGCTCTCGGGGCTGGGACGAAGACACAAGGCAGGAAGTTGTTGGGCACGGCACGTGAAACATTAAACGACACCCTCGTGATACCATTCAGGGCCTTTGGTAGGCACATGTGCATAGGAAGGCCGTTGCGGTATTGTAGGATCCTCTGGTTGGGGGGCGGGCTCCCGGCTTGTACTGTACCCTCGCAGCATGTGCTTTAGGTAGGTGTCGTGTGCTGCTGCTGCCGTAGGCAAGCTTTGGTGGCCAAACAGCACATATACACACGGCAGGCACGCGTGGGAACTAGAATGATGTGCGAATCCAACGGATGAGGGCGACTATGGGTCACCACCAACTCTTCAGCCGTTTTACTCGTCTATGTCAGAGGGGAAAACCTCATAAATAGATAAATAGCAAGGTTTTTTCTCGCTTCCGTTCCTGGCCTGGGTGGAAAGCGATAGTTCGTTTGCACACAGGGAATAGAGTACTGCACTCTTTCTCGCACAAAAATCGAAGGCAACAGCACCGTAGGAGGGGTGGGTAGGGGGCCTCAGGGAGAGGAACCCTCTGTGCGACCACGGGCTGGAGTAATCGGCACAAATGCTGTTGATGCAATACAATTGTATCTCTCTGATTTTGTAGGACAAAAAAAAAAAAAACTTTGTACACACACACGTGCACGCCAGCAATCCCCCGCGCTTTTCAAGAGAGAGGGGGGGAGGAAAGGGGAGCAGAGCGTGACGCTGGAACGTTCAAGGGGCACCCATGCACATGCCAGTTACAACCGTAGCATTGGCTTTGCTATATTCACCTGTCCATGCGCACGAACACCAACTTCCGGATGCCTTTGAGAATCTTGTGATCAGCATCGTCTTTTAGGCAGTTCCAGGCTTTGTGTTCCACCATCTCGAGCTGCTTCTTGCTCACGTGCTCGCTCAGAAACCCGACCAGACCGATACGCTCATCATCAGAGAGCTCCATGGATTCAGCAGATCCCGAAATCTGTGTCTGTGTTCGTGTCCAAAGCTCTCAGTCTTTCCCGCCTTCTCCTGTGCCTCGTACTGTGCACGGCTGGCCAATTAGACTGCGAGGCAACAAAGGGGAGACGCAGAAAAAAAAAACATGATGTACTCGTATATATAAGTACATTTCAATGTAGTTTTGCGGCACAACAATCATGCCGCACTTACACAGCAGCAGGCACCGCACGTAGTCCCGTTGTGCTTGCGATTTGGGTGGAAGGTAAGAGGTGCTTTCTAGATGTTGTATCGCGGAACATACAACTCGTGTTGTTGTATTGTACGCACGGTAAATATTTCGAGTTCGAACGGATAATATGCACGGATTGCTGGTGTGCTCTACCACTATATCTTTAGCAGTGCACCGCCGAACTGCTGCACCAGGTCATGTAGTACAGCAGTGGACTGCGAAGAACGGATCTTCGGATGTTGATGGTGTACATGTAGCAAAAGTTGCTGTGTCACAACACCCGTTACATTTGTGTGGTTCTCGAACATACATGTCTCTCCAAAAGTTTACGGGTAAATCAAGCTTGTTGACGGTGAGAGATGTATGTGCTGCCGCCTGATCCCTGGATGGTGTGGCATGGGATGTGAGAGTGGATCATGACATGTAGCATTACGACAGCGCTTGTACTGCCTAAGTCTAATAATTCTTTGTATGTAAGGATGTAAGGAATTCGTTCTCTACGTGCAGGGCCCCGGGAAGTGCGGCTCCAGACCCGACATGAATACGGTCACCATGTCCTCGCTCGCGTTTTGGCGATTATTTTCGAAATACGTCTAATACAATAAATAGACTACTACGGCTGTTGTTGTCGTATAATAGTTGTTTGTGCATTGCCCATTCCGAACATTGCAGGATCTCGCAAGGAATACGGGTCATTTCTCCCTGCCACTACGCCCCACCATTCGAGATATCGTGGCTGCGCCAGATTGGGAAAGTTTTTGGTGGACCCGAAAAAAAATATGCACGCAGCTACACTCCCCGAACGAAGCCTCCGAAATATTCCACTTTCGTCGCCACGTATTTGAACGCGATTGCCTCCTTTTTTTGCGTGCTTCGCAGGCGGAGTCTCGGGCGTCGGGTCAGCTGTGTCTGCTGAAAGCGAAGAAGAAGGCTAGCAAGCCCGAGAAGGCGTTCAGGGAGTTCGATGTCGACCGCCAGGGGGAAGTGAGAAATCGTTTTTTGAGTGTCCTTAATCGCAGGGGCAACGGGGGGATAAAAGCAGAACTCGGTCAAGATCGTGTTGGCGCATTCGAGCCCAACTCGTTGTTTGCGTGTATTTCGTGGCCCTGTTCAACTGCGATTTAATGTGTCTAAATTAGTCATTCTGAGGGAGGGGACATAGGGAAAAACTGCCACTGTTCCAAGGCGTGGGCGATGATTGCACAATATTTTCTCAAAATCTAAGCCTGATTGGGATTCAACGGTGTTTCATGTGTGTAAGGCGAATGAGAGAGAGCAATTTTCTCCGCTTGGAGAGTCGCACATTCATTTTAGAGCCCACAGATGCTCCGAGCAGATTCTTCCAGTACATATTCCATGCCGTATATGGTACTGCGAAAATGGCATGGTCATGTCCATGTGCTACTCAAAACTCCGTTTTCTCCGTTGTCGAGCTCAGCGTTTATTGTGTGCCAAACACGTGAACCGAGGTTCTCGGAAGACGAAAAAGAAAACATTCCCGCGATACTGGGGTAAAGGTGACAACAATTCAGAGAGGATATTAGTGTTGACTACCGGCTTTTCGATAGTCTTGTTCAGACAAGACAAGCGTTCGACTGTGGGTTAGGGTTTTTAATTATTCTGTGGAAAGCTAATAAACAAAATGGAGCGACCCTTCCAGTTCGAGTACACAGCACCCGTCGCAAAACGGCCCTCAACTAAAATGTCACCATTTCAATGTCCAGAACAAAATATTTCGAAACAAGGTGAGGAAGACCGACTTCGTCCTCGCCCTCGGAAGGCTGGGCCTCGTACTCACGCACGGACAAGCAACCGCCCTCGCTGCCAAGCACCACGGGGACTACGAGGGTTTCTTGGCCACGCTAGCAGATCCTACACGCTTGCCGGAGGTGAGGATAGAACTAGGGCGAGGAGCCCTTGTCACACAGCAGTACCTTAGGCGACACAACATGTGTCACACCCCCTGGATCGGTTTTTATAGCTCGATTTACTCCACAGCAGCAGAGCGGCGGTGCCGAAAATGACGGCGTTGGAAGCGTTTCGTTCCGATAGCAGGTCCTTTGATTTTGGCATCCTCTTCGTCGTGAACGTAGTCGAGCTTTGAAAATTGGTCCAGGGGGTACGGTATCTTGCGTTACCTAAGGTAGATACGTATCCCCACTGCGCCGGGGCGGAGATCAGCGATCGCTCTCACAGACCGACGTTGCAGGGATGAGCGGTAGACAGGTGGCGTTGCATAATGCGATGTATGGCGTGCAACAGGATGGTGGGGGGTAAGGGTAGTCTGAAACAGAGGAGGTCTATCTTCCTCAGTCGTCGAGCATTGCACGATTAAGAACGACGTAAACCGCTTCTGACCAAGGTTGCGGAGAACCACAGTTCCCCTCACCTAGCCAAGAGCCGGAAAATAATTTCGTGCTGGACCCATCCCGACAAGCTTGTACTATTGGGCCGATGGCACACACAATACCAGTGGTCGTGTACACGTCTTCATGAAGCGTTGCCTGCGTCATGCCCTTGAAGGGTTTTCCACGCCGAATTAACCTTTGTTGTCGCTGACCGGGAGAGAGAGCGTTGCCCGTCCGACAACCCCACATCAGTGCATGCTGTTTTTTGGTGACTGAAGGTCGTGTTGACCGATGAATTTCTAGCCATCCTCAACGTGGACCACCCCAGGCCCCAAGGATACTCTGTGTAAACCGGTGCTCGTACATTCTACTATTCAGCGAAGACTCTGTTTTCTTCTTCTCTCATCCAGCAGGGTGCAGTCTCCGAGAGGTCGGACGACAGTGGAAGCGATACCGACCGAGGGCCAAAGGGGAAAAGTTGGATTAAGAACATAGGGAGGCGAAGAGGCGGCAGCAATACAAACAGCAGAAGCAGGAGCAGGAACAGCAGCAGAAGAAAAGGTGGAACTGGCCGTGGGTCCGGCGGCGAAGGGGGGTCGTCCGATGACGGCGACCGGCCGCTCACATCTGGATCTAGCGAGGATGGGGAGGAAGGCGAGGACAAAGCGGAGGATGAATACGATGGAATACTGTTGGGGAAGAGGGCCAGGTGCGTGTCGGGCAAGCAAACGGTGGAATACAATGACCCGAAAGTTCGAGCCACCCAATGAATGCGATGTTGTTTGTTATTTCTTAGTGTTTCGCAAGTGGAATGCTGTGGAACATGGCGACACCGTTCTTTTGTGACAAACGGAGAAGGTTCTAGGACGCCAACACGAGACCTCCGCGCAGCAGAGAATTCCAGCGCAAGCCAGAATCTCTCGTCGTCAGCCCGCTGCGAGTGAATGGTGCTTGGCCCAAACACAACTACCTACGTATTTCACCCTGACCCCCTTTACCTCTTTACCTCTCTACCGCCACCTTCCTCTACCGTACAAAAAAAAACAACGGTGCCCACATTCAGGGTGGCTCTGCGCGATGCCTTCGAGCGCGCGTGTAGCGCCACCGGGGGCGTGCAGGATATTTTCTGCTCGGCGGCCGGAGGAGGGCATAGCAGGAGCAACGGCGGCAGGGACGTGGACACGGCGAGCGGTCAAGGGGCGCTACTCGATCGGGAGCAGGTACACGCAGCAGCCCAAGACACCTCCTCGAGGCGCTTCTATGTTGATTGCTCAGGCGCGCCATGGGCTCTCCAATATCCGATTGAAAGCTACGCTTGGGTAGAAACAGGAGGCGCACCGTTCGGAATAGAATCATGCGGTCCGACTCGACCGAGCAGTTGCACATGAGGAATTTCTTATGTGGTTTCTCACGTTGCTCACGCTGCCGCGCGGTTTCGAACTCATGGAGTATTTGTTTGTTTTTGGGACCACGGGTGAGGATCTGGGAGGTGCCTGAACATCCGAGGCAAGACCGCACAATTTGTATACCACGAATTCGCTAACGCGCCGGACGGGAGAGAACATCGTTGACCTAGGCGTGTGTGAAGAACTGTTGAACACGATGCAGGGCACAAACCATGCACGCGTTGCACCTCTCAATCAATCAAAACCTGTCTCTGCATATCCTTGTATGACGGACAACGTCGGCACAACCACATGGTAGCCAATTTTGGTTCCTTCCCTTTGGCGCCGCTTCCATCGAAAAACTCAAACCGAAAACCGCAGACACGGCGCTTCCTGCGGAGGCTCAAGCTTGATGCACCCGACGACGACCGTGCTGCTCTCCTCGACGCGCTCGCGCCCCCCCCTGGCACGTCCGTGGGTGATGGCGAAGATGGCCGAGCTTCGGGCGAGAAGGGCGTGAGCTTCGAGAGTGACGGGGGGCGCAAGAAACGCACCAAGCCCGACGATGGGGGCGGCGATGGCCTGGTTTCGTACAGGGACTTCCTAGAGCTGGTGTTGGCAGAACAGGTACAGAAGAGCGTGGCGTGGCTAACTCCGCCGCTTCGCGTCCGTCTCAAGAAGATGTTGGTCTGCTGAGCCCCCGCGCGGTCGGCGAAGCCCCTGCGTGTTGTGTCCGGTTTGAGGGTGTGCGAGAAAAACTAGGGCCACGCGCGATGATGGCTGATTTCCACCTGTAGAACAACTGAGGCATAGATACATATTTGTCAAATATCGTCTTCGTTTTCGGCCGATGATCTTCACGGAACGGCGCTACCGTCCAAGGAACATTCTTGGCAGTTTGCTGAACACACACAAGCGTGCGGCAGGGTCACGCGACATCCGCCCAAACATTCTTTGTTTTGTGGATATGGTTTGCTACATTGCACAACATTTTGGCCCTACCCGTGCGGTCTTTTCCGCCGGGTCACGCAACATCCGTATAAACATTCTGTGTTT